GGGTCTTCCAGCGAGATAATGACCCAAAGCAAACCTCTAAAAGCACGCAGGCATGGTGGAAAGGGAAAAGATGGACCGTTTTAAAATGGCCAGCAATGAGTCCTGATCTCAGTCCAATTAAGAATCTTTGGGTAGAGCTGAAATCTGCCATTGGAGAAAGGAACCCTGCAAATGTACAAGAGCTGGAGCAGATTGCAAAAGAAGAGTGGGAGAAAATTCCACCATGGAAGTGCCAGAAGGTTCTGGATGAACCTAAGAGACGTTTGGAGGCTCATTGCTGCCAAAGGCTGTGCAGCCAAATATTAGGGAGGGGAGTCAATATTGGTGCACAAGCTGGTTTTCTGTTTTGTCCTTTGGAATGAAAATATCTGTGTTAAAATGTTAACTGTCTTTGTTAAATTACTTTGGACCTTAAATTGAAAGATCTTGCTGATATAACTTTTGAACATTTCCATTTATTTCTGGAGATATTCACTCAGCTATGCCAAACATGAAGGGGAGCCAGTAATGCTGAGCAGGACTGTATTTATGTTGTTTTAATTCGATTTGGAGAAAACATGCCCATTCTTTGTCCAAGTTAAAAAGATGAAATAAAATAGTCTTAATTTTCAGTTATTGTTCGTTCCACTTTCAGACAATCATCAATACTTTTGACTCATGGTAATAAAAACTGTCCAAAGTGGAGGACAGGTTAGAAAGGTTGAGAAACTCACCTGTAGATCTTCACCTTGAAAAGGCTGCAAACATTCCCCACATGGTGGATGCTTCCTCTGGCAGCCATGCTGTGCTCTGACAGGCCTTCCTGTTATCCGCTGGATGTCTCTCTCTCTCCATCATCAGCCAAGCAGCTCAAAGTGCTTGTTGTTCCTGCAGCTTGTTAGCTCTTCATGTATCAGATTTTTTAAACTGTGGCCCCTAAAGGTGTGGATTTGTAAATCTGATTGTCTCTCGTTGTCTTGGTGTGTTTGTGGGTGGCTGTGCCACCAGGAGGCGGAGGAGATGCACATCAAAGCCATCCAGATCAAGGAGCAGCTGCTGGGCCATGAGGACTACGAGGTGGCTCTGTCTGTGGGTCACCTGGCCTCCCTCTACAACTACGACATGAACCAGTACGACGACGCAGAGAGGCTCTACCTGCGCTCCATCGCCATCGGTAAGCAGAAGGAAAACAGGCAGCCGGCTCCTCCTACCGGCCGACTACAGTCCTGCTTTGGACAAACTGTTTAGCTGCTGATCTTAGTAGATCAGGCTCTTAGAAATGTCTGTCTGGGGAACCTTAACTTAGGTCCCTCCCTTCCTTCCTCTTCCGTTTTTTCCTTCCTTTTTCCTGTTTTCCCTTTTCAAATGCCTTAAAATCATCATTTCTTTCTAAATGCCCCCCCCCCAGGGAAGAAGCTGTTTGGTGAAGGCTACAGTGGCCTGGAGTACGACTACCGAGGCCTGATCAAGCTCTACAACTCAGTGGGGAACTACGAGAAGGTCTTTGAATACCACAACGTACTGTCCAACTGGAACCGGCTGAGGGACCGGCAGTTTGCCGTAGCAGACGCTCTGGAGGACGTCAACACCACCCCCCAGCAGACCCAGGAGGTGGTCCAGGCTTTCCTCCAGGCGCAGAGCCTCGGCCCCTCCCGCCCATGTCTTGGCTAACCCCCCCTCCGAACACAAACACTCACCATTTCCAAAATGAAGAAAATCAGACCAGGTTTGAGTCTGGAAAGACCCCTGATGTGATGCTTCGTTTGCTCACAGCCAATTAGTCCAGTAGATGAACTTTGACCTCTGCAGCTGCTCGGCTGCTGCCGACGCTGCTCACACACACACACACACACACACGTGCAGTCATAAGGGAGACGCAGCCAGGCGAGGAAACGGGACGGCCTCTCCTCTTCCTCACTCGCCTTCATCCTCATGCTGAGGATCAGGGGGCTCCTTTAGGACGGGGGGGCTGATGATGAACACCCCTGATACTAAACCATGGTTACCATGGCGGTAACACATGGATATTTTTCACACTCATCCAGTTACTCATTACAGCTTATTGTACTTTTTAGTTGAAGCTTCCTGTAACTTTTTTTTAATTGAAGTGGACGTCAATAAACTCCTGCTTTTCAACTGCTTGTTGGAGTCAAACAGCCAACAGTGGAATGTGTTTAAACCAGCGGCTTTGTTCTCCTTCTTCTTCTCGTCCCAGTATGTCGGCCTTATTGAAATATCATCAGTATGTACGCAGAAATGTTTGATTAACTATAAAATATAGATATGTTAACGATGGAGGTGGCAGGAGGAGCCAAGAGGGACGAGTTTCAGGGCATCAGAGTGAGGACCACCTGATTTCACCATCCAATGAGGACTGCTCTGCTAATGCTAACAGCTAGCTTTAGCTTTAATAAGGTGGGAATTCGGTTAACGCTGCAAAAAAGGAAATGCAATGTTTTTAAATAAGTGTTTGTTCCCTCAATTTAAGCAAGTAAGACAAGTTACCAAAGAAATAAGACGGTTAACATTTATTATAAGAGAAAAACAAATTAACAATCTTATTTAAATGCACCATATGTAGTTATCGTATTTTAGAGCAGAAATACTGATTTTTATTGGTTGATCATCTTATTTACCTGCTTAAATTAAGGGCAGATACGCTATTTAAAAAAACATTTTTAGATCTGATTATTTTTTTTATTGAACATAAATAACTGAAAACTAATCGAGGTCAACACACTGCAAAAAATATAAATCTAAATACATCATTTTTTCTTAAAATGAGGAGGTAAGTCAGACACTTGGAAAATGACCATTTATATTACAAATAAGAAAAAAAAAACAATTGCATTGTTTTATTTCAAGTGCATATTACCCAATTGTCTTATTTTAAGAGTAAAATAACTTATTCCATCTTATTTACCTGCTCAGATTAAGGCTAAATACACTTAATATAAGAAATGTTTATTGATCTAGATGGTTTTTGCAGTGCATTACTTAGAGTTCACTGGTGTCTACCTGCTCCACACTAACACCACCCTGCTGTTAACAGTCTGTAGGTGGAGCCAAAAGAAAACCCTCCGAATGTGTGAGAGGGCTTTCAGTCTGTGAATACGGTCGTCTTCATTCTGTTGGGCACCTTTTTATGTTTCTTCTAACCAACTGAGCCTCCTGTCCTGCAGCGCTGCTGATGTCTTTAACTTCATGCCTTTTGTTTGAAGCCGCACAGGCGAGGTCAGGCTGCAGTTTCAGACCATTGTCGTGGTTCTGACTGTGGTTCTCTATGGCTCTGTATCAGATGTGAGGTGCTTGGATTTATAAAACTGTGCCAAGAATTGTTGCCCCCTGGTGGTAAAACATTAACAGCTGTTATTATTGTCCACAGTGAGTTTGCTCCAACCTTTACTCAGAAGTTTTTAGCTCTTTCATGCATCATGTCTGTCATTTAAAGGTGCAGTGCAGCCTGCATGGACTGCTCCACCTGAAATGGAAGAAGATGACTGGCTTGGTTGATCCTAAAGTGGGGTGCAGTGATGTGTGTGTGTCTGTGTGTGTGGGGGGGGGGGGTAACTGGTTGCATTTTTATGCAGCTGAGCCAGCAGTCAGAACCGTTAAATCTGCAGCATTACTAAACAGTCATGCCTTGTTCAAACACTGCAGTGTTTAAGTTTCCTGATGAATGAAGAAATCGCGCTCTGCCTTCAGGGAGCGGATGGACCCCTCCTGCTCCAGCAGCTTTCAGGACCTTTCACCTCTGGTGCTGATGTATGAACTAAACTCTGGGCTGGAGACGCTTCAGGTCCACTTCCTGCAGCACATTCATCAAAGAGTTGGCCTTCTTTATCTGGCTGCAACAAACCAACACTTTAAGCTCCTTCTTGACTCTCCTCTAAGATGGTAGAACTTGTGTTTGGTTCTGCATCGTGGATTTTCTCTGACAGGACGACTCTTGCTGTGCTGCATGGATGATGAAGGTAAAGTAGAGCTGGAGGCCATGGACACCAAAGGATGTTTTCACTGTTCTGTCATTGTTTCACTGCTGGAAGCATTAAAAGCATTGTTCCACTGATCGCAGTACATTTCCAATCTTTATTTTCTCTTCAAATAATTTCATCAGAAAAAAAGAAATCAACAGCCAGCCACACAGTATTAATCTCTCTATTGTTAACTACAATTTACATTGTTATCAAAATTTTCTGTTTCATATGGAAGAAAAACAGTCTGCCTTTTTTTTAACATCAATTTTTTTATTTTATTTTTTTATAAATTTCATTTTAAGTTTTTAAAGTTTACAACATACAGATAAACAACCACACTAATACACAAAAAAAGGCAAACAGGGCCCAGATGCACAAGACAAAGCATGAAACAATACAGTTGACATGGTGTACACACCACATGTACATACATAATCATGTAAACATCACATTTTAAACACTGAATTTTTTTAGACATTGAATTCCTTACTATAGAAGCCAGTCTTGTTTCCACCACTCTGTAAAAAAAAAAAAGATCTCATTATAATGAGATACTGTAGTATATCAAAATAATGATGAGATAGTATCTCAATAAGCAATCTATCGAGTGTAGATTGCTTTGGCTTGAGTTCACCAAAAGGTCTTTTGCAGCTGAATTTTTAACAGATAAAAATTGAGTGTAAGGAATTCAATGTCTAAAAAATTCAGTCTTTAAAATTTGTTGTTAGAAATTCAGTGTTTAAAATTCTGTATTAAAAAAAGGCAGATTTCAATGAGAAAGTTTCTCTTCCATACTGGGGGGGGGATATAGTTTGAGATATAAAAAAAAGCTCAGCATTAGAAAAGCACATGAAGAACGAGACAAACATTTCAGCAGAAAGAAAACATGTTGATATCCTAAAATTCAGATTTTAGGTACAAAAACTGGGGAAAGTATCAAACCATTGACGACACAATTATCAGCAGCATTTCTGCTTTCTATTTCTGCCTATTGATAAACCTCAACATTCCCTATTCTACAAACAATGGCCTCTAGTGAGGAGGTTGCTGAAGAATTGGGTCATTAAACCAAATCAGGGATTTAGGTTGTTCCAGTCACTTCTATGGCTGCATGTGTCTGAAGTTCACAGGTAAATTGATCTGTTTCCATGGGCCTATTAACCTCATTTTAATGTTAACCTCATTTTATTATGGTTTTATGTTATTGGCATCTTATCTGTTTGTATCCACTCTGTTCTCTCCTGTAGTTTCTTATTTAATGTTCACCGTTTTTACCTGCCTTAGGACAGCGGATGCAAACTAGCTGTTGTGCTAATTCTGGCATATTTACATTGATGCTTTATGAATGTTGATGAATGTGCATTGTAATAATTCAAATAAATAAATAAAAAAAATAAAAAAAGTTTGCTGAGGACCTTCAGTGTCCTGACCTNAAAGAAATCAACAGCCAGCCACACAGTATTAATCTCTCTATTGTTAACTACAATTTACATTGTTATCAAAATTTTCTGTTTCATATGGAAGAAAACCAGTCTGCCTTTTTTTTAACATCAAATTTTTTATTTTTTTTTTATACATTTTATTTTAAGTTTTTAAAGTTTACAACATACAGATAAACAACCACACTAATACACACAAAAAAAAAGGCAAACAGGGCCCAGATGCACAAGACAAAGCATGAAATAATACAGTTGACATGGTGTACACACCACACGTACATACATAATCATCACATTTTAAACTTGTTTCCACCACTCTGTAAAAAAAAAAAAAAAAATGATCTCATTATAATGAGATAGTATCATTATATTGAGATATTATCTCGTTATAATGAGATACTGTAGTATATCAATATAATGAGATAGTAATTCAATAAGCAATCTATCGAGTGTAGATTGCTTTGGCTTGAGTTCAACAAAAGGTCTTTTGCAGCTGAATTTTTAACAGATAAAAATTGAGTGTAACGAATTCAATGTCTAAAAAATTCAGTTTTTAAAATTTGTTGTTAGAAATTCAGTGTTTAAAATTCTGTATTAAAAAAAGGCAGATTTCAATGAGACTGTTTCTCTTCCATACTGGGGGGGGGGCATATTTCACCATTTTGACAGGATATAGTTTGAGATATAAAAAAAAGCTCAGCATTAGAAAAGCACATGAAGAACGAGACAAACATTTCAGCAGAAAGAACATCGGAGGTGGAGTCACATGAAGTCAATCTGACATTTGAGACGTTAGTTGTGTGTTTATGATGAGTGCGTTCAATTTGTCCGTGATCGCTGTCCACTGGCCATGTCCTTGATAAGATGGAAGTTTAACCACTGTTCTGGTTGCATCCACAGGTAGGGGAGGGAGGCGTCAGTTCTTCTGTGCCCTTCCACCATCACATCCAGGGGAGATCCAGTACGCCTCTGAACGACGTGTTGATATCCTAAAATTCAGATTTTAGGTAGAAAAACTGGGGAAAGTATCAAACCATTGACGACACAATTATCAGCAGCATTTCTGCTTTCTATNCTGGACAAGACCAGGACCGGTCAAGCTAAACGGGACTTAATTAGGTGTCCAGTCTGTATTTAATTGGGTGGAAACCAGGACAACGTGTGATGGATGTGAACGCCGCTTTACAATCAACAATGTTTACCTGACTGGTTGTGTTTTTTTTGTTTTTTTTTGCTGTTTTGTTTGTTGTTTTTGTTATATGTTCATAAAACAAAATAAAAACTTTAATTACAAAAAAAAGAAAATGTTAACGCTAGTGTCACTTCAGACTTAGCTCAAAGGAACAGTGTACTTAGATCATTATTTAGTCGAAATAGATGAAGATTTTCAGGAAGACGACACAGATGTGTGATGCTGCCCAGAACAGAGCAGTCTGTGTTGTTTGGGTTCAGGCTGATGGGGGGGGTTAAAGGTAACAATACAGCAGATGCTTTGGTCAAACTTCCTAAATGTTGGGATCTGGAGCTGTACCACCTTCCTCCAGCAGAGTGCACTGTGGGTCTCCTGGAGCTGGAGCCTTCCAGCACACCTGAGACGCATCTACTCATCAGGAGACCTCTCCTTTATAACCAGCTGCCAGACCTTGCTTCGACGCCGCAGTGTTGACCTTAGTTTGGTTAGCAACCTGAGCCTCTGAAACTAAAGAATCTTAGTCGTCTCAAGTGAGAGAACAGATTCTAACTCTCCTCTGTTTTTGCCTCACAGGAAACCTGTCTCTAGCCTGAAGCTCTGGGTGAGCTTAACCTGCCAGTCTGCCCTTTGTGAGCCAAACCTGAAGATTCCTATGTGGATTCCCCTGCTGCTCTTAGTGAAGAGCTGGAAACTCTGATCAAGGTCTGCCATTCAAAGTCAGAAGCTAGACGCTGCAGCTGCTTGTGTACTCTGCTGAACCAACAGTCTCTGGACCCAACGGTTCCCTCTCTCTCAAAGAGAAGCCCGGACCCAGTCAAGGTAGAATCTGAATTATCCAAGGACTCATTACTCATCTGCCTGCCTTGCTAATCAAACTATCATCTCTGCAGACTTCAGTGAACCAGCCCGGACCAGTTCCAGATCCTGTACATTATCTTGTGTTTTCTGAACCTTCAATAAACTCTGTTAAACTTTTACCCAGCCTCTGTTGTGTTCTGCATGTGGGCTAAGAACCTTAAACCCATCATGACACTAAAAGCAGTGGTAGTTAGGGTGGCTCTGGGGCAGCTGTTTATAATCAAACTTTATTTATCTCACATTGGTGAAATTTACCTC